GAGAAAAAAACGTAGAGGAAGGCAGTGTCTGCGATGGAATGATTTATTCGAGAGACACTAATCGTGGGTAATAAACGAAGCTGTAAAAACCATGATCGTATCAGAGGCACCTGAGAAATTGTGCTTTATAACACCAAAACCAAATAGCGGTTTGTTGTGGGCAAAAAAAGAAGTAAGTGCAGACAGCCTTTAAAATTATTAAGACGTTAATATCATCCAAATATACTTTTTTTACTTTTTGAATTTGGAAGCAAAAAAATTTAGTTTTGCGCCAAAAAAGTAAAAATAAAGGTTCACACCAACTTCATATACATAAAAAACTTGTAATATTCAAAATTTTAATAATTATCCTACAATTTCCCGGGACCTTTAGAACGTGGATATGGTTCAGAACGAACCGCAAAGCATTTATATCGATAATATTTTTAAATGCCTAAAGTTTGGACAATTTTTTTTTTTGCTCTATCAGAACACGTGTCGGTTAAAAATTATCATGAAAAGCATGAACCACTCGTATCACAATAGCCATAATTTTTTCTTTCAGAGCAGCAAAGAAATACTCGCGACTTATGAAAGAAATCATATGAAACGTGAAAACAATGCTCTTTAAATTTTCAGAGTTAGGTTTTACTCACAAAAAATTTAACGTCTTAAGTTTCAGTGCAACCAAATCAAAAATCGGTCTATTGTGAATGTTTACTGGAAATATGTTGCAAAATTCCAGTCATCTGGAATTTCATTTCACTAATTGATTTTTAGTGTTTACAGTTTTTATATTTCATACTGTACACAACACTACAAAATGTGAACCTTTTAAAAGTGATGCCAATACGTTTCAACCAGACTTAATGTTTTTTTACAACTCAGAAAGAATAAATTACGGCTAATGGTGCCAAATTTAAAAACTGATTTATTGTGAATCGTGAGTTATTGGATGAACATGGAAAATTGCAGTCAGATGACAAAGGAGTCTGTTTATTATTTGTACCTGCTGTGAGTGTTAATGAGTAAATTTATATATTTTAAAAACTTTATTTTTTCATCAAATTTGTGAAGATGACTGACAGATTAATAATGGAAAAGATTTCATACGTTAATTATTTATTAAAGAATTTATAATTACTGTATTATGTTCATTAAAAATGCAATACATGAATAAATACAAAACAAAATTGTTATAATAAAAGCAAACTGATAAAACATAATTTCAAGAAAAAGAAAATAGTGTTAAATACTGCTCATTTAGCGTTAACTAGTGATGTTAAAAGTTTGAAAATTATTTAAACGAATATTTTGACGATCTCGTATTGCCTTCTGAAGAGTTAGAGCTATAAACAATTTTGAATATTTTGTCAATATTTAGCACTCTTCGTCTCCTCCTTATTTCATTATTTTTCTGTAAAGAGGTTTTCGAACAGAAGTGAAACAACAACAAAAATTTTATTTTTTTTAAATTATTTTAATTAATTGAATTTTTGGCTGACCATACAGCTGTTTCGAGTATTGCCAAATACCCTTCATCAGTGGTCTTGGAAATAGTTCTTGTATTTAATTATTCGTAAATAATTATTTTTGAGACTGCAAGTACCAGGAATTATTTTTCTGTATTATCTAAGATAAAGCCTATATAAAATGTGTACTTTAATATAAATTCAAATACAATACAAAATGCTCACAAATAACTTCTTTGTGTCATTCATTTTATATATATTTAAATGAAAAAAAATCTTTTTTATAAAATAATTTGCAGGAATTTTTGTATTTACATGTATTTATCAATCATAAATTTTTTTAAAATTATTTTACTTGTTATATGTTTGCTGATTTCAACAGTGATGCCAAGTCATTTTAAGCAGCCAGAAATTATTCTATAGGATTAATCATGTCAATACATGACATGAATTTAATATTATTTTTTCACATATTATTTGAAAAACTATTAAAATTAATAAACCGATATGAAATTATATATAATATAATTTAAAAAATTTAATTTATACAAAATTTTGAAAATCGTGAGAATTTAATCCAACGCAAAAAAAAATTAGAATATTTAGTGTAAGTAATATATATATTTGTGTTTGTTTTAGTCTGTTGTTATATACAACATCAAAAACTTACTATTATTTCGTGCTTAATTTTTAGTACTATTTCATTACTTAGTTCGACCCAACACCCTACCCAAATTTAAACGATTTTAAGCCTTTTCGGTGACTCGAAAGTATGGCAAAAAACGCATGCTAGCCTAAATTCGCTAAGCGTGACATTGGCATCACTGTTGCAATCTGTTTTGTGTTATGTTTTGAGAAATAGCAAATCTTGCATATGTGCGCAAAATGTAAGCAAATTACATTTTGTATAAAATAGTTAATATAAAATTAAAAAGTAAAATGAATACAGAATTAAAATGAATGGTAAGGATGTTGAAAATTTCAAAATTAAACATTGATATTTTTTCTCAATTTTTAAATTTATGAAATTTTCAAATTTATGAAATTTTTGAATATTATTTGAAATTTTTGTTTAAATATGATTTTTGACATATGATTGCAATATTCATTGAAGTTTTCAATGAAGGTTCACAATAATTCGCTTATTGCGTTGGTAACACTTTTGCTTTACAGGCCGAAGTGTTTAGCCAGTAAATAAATACTGACCAAAATAGTGAAATAGTGTTGTTCTTTTGAGTACATTTCGGCCAGTATAGTATATAGTATAGTATTTAATTTTTAATCTATGTTAATTAATTGTTTTTATACAAAATGTAATTTGCTTGCATTATGCTATTTGTCAAAACATAAAACTTGACAGACTGCAACAGTGAAGCCACTAGCTCTCGTGGTCAATATAGGCAAGCATACATTTTTTGCCATACTTGCGAGCCACCGAAAAGGCCTATTATTACTCTCAAGATTCAAATATTTTTTTAAAAATTTTTCTTTAATTTAAAAGTGTGTTATAAAAGTTGCGGATGATCACCATTGAAAGAGTAAACATTCGTAATAAAATGCTCGTAATATGTGACAAATATGAAACAAACGTTATTTGCCATCAAAAAAATAAAATTTTAACAATTTGTAGTAGCATTTAAAAAAAATGCATTTTCTTAATACATTTAGTTACTTTTTGCGATTGAGTTCAGCCAAAAAACTTTAGTAGAATTCATTTGCAATTTTCACTTGTCACTTGTCTTAAAGTTACACAGATTACAACAAGCAGATTATTGAACCATTCAGTGATACGGTGTCGAAGTGATCTAAATCGGAATGTATTCTAGTTCTAAATATAAATATTAGTACTAAACCGAAAAACTTATTTTAATTGTACCCAATATCCAATAATTTAAAATTTTTTTATTAAATTAGAGCTGCGAATATATGAATAGAAAGAAAAGAAATATGAGAAATATGAGAAAATGATTAAATCAATTCGATTAAGTAATTTTAAAAAAAACGGAACTAGTTGACTTTCTTTACTTTTCGAACCAGTTTCTTTTGTTAAAACAGTTTAACGTTTGACGAAAGTTTTGAAACGAGAACGTAGAATTTGCATTCAGATGATTTAAAATGGTTTGTGCATTAACTACCAGTGGCTACCAAACTGTAAAACTCTAAATGCTTTCTAGTATTCTTTCGGCGTTTAATTAACGAAACAGCTATCATATCAGCTATCACACCAATTGGCATTACAGTGTCAAAAAATATGCAAATAAAAATAGTTTGTGTATGGAATGCAAAACTTGAAATAATAGCGCAGAATTTGCATTTATAATGCAAAAGGGCTTGTGCAGTGCTACCAGTTACTACCAATTTGAAAAAAACTGTCAGAATTTATGGAACAAGAATGAGTTTTCTGCTTGTTTCATAAAAGTAACATCTTTCATTCCAACAATAATATGACGTTTACATTGGCTGAAAATGTCTCATTTAAAATGAGCCATTTAAAAGTGTTTATATTCGTTGTAATTCATTTGTTCTTATTTCAAACAGCTGATTTTTCAACTTGATTTTGTCTGTTGATTTGATTTTTGGCCTGTGGCAAAAAAATGTTGCATGAATGTTAAATATGCCTTTAAATCTTACAATATAAACTTAAAACATATTTTTAACTTCGATTAATTACTTTTTGGGATGTAGAAGTTCTAAAAAGAGGTGCATCGTTTTCAAGATCACAAAATGTACACAAAATAATGTACATATTTATTTATTGCATAAAAGATGAAATGAAAATTGGTCAAAATCTTTTTTAATAAATACATTAATTTAATTTAAGTTATATAATAATGTTTAACTTAAATGGAATTATATTATTCATTATGTATTTGAAATAAATAGTAATTTCATATATTATTTAATTTCGCCAATTTTTATTATATATTTATGTACATATTCATTATTTTTAGTTAAAAGTTTTCAAATTTATTTATTTAACATTTTATAAAATTTTCACAGTGGCAACATCTAATTTTTACCTAATTTACCCTACTCGAAATTTTGGTAAATTCCAACATTCGCTGACATATCGATATAATTTATTATTTCTATTTACTATTTCCCTCAATTTACTCGAACTCGCACATGGCCTAAGCGATATAAAAACTAAACCGGATGTAATTATTTATAAGGTTTTTGATATAGTAAGGTACAAGGTGTTTCTACAATCATTTATTTATTAATAGAAGTAAACTTTGTTAAAATATAAAAAGTTTATTTTGAGAATTTTAACTCAGAACAAACATATGATATTTGTATGAATCACATTAAAATGCAAATAGTAGAAAATGAAAATTGCTCACTTACATGATAAAAACAGAAGTTTAAACATATATATATTATAGAGCTTGTGGATATATGTGCATACATATAAACATATGCTATGACAATCATTATCGGAATGTGTTTCAATTTGCCCAGACGTTCCTTTGTCGAGTTATTTGCTAATGGCAACCCTGTTTAACATATGTTCAATGCGTCAGTGATAGTTGACTTTCTGTACGTAATTGCATTATTTGGAAGTGTAGAGAATTTTTTGTTGAGATTGTGTAGTGGCTGCTAGTTAAACGAAAAAAGTGATATTTTGTATAAAAAGTATTATAACAATTTTTTATATTAGTAAGCTATGTCTGTTGATGCATTTTATCATCAAATCCCGTATTTGGATCCAGATTACGAGGACTCTCGTTCCAATCATTTTGAACAAAATGCGTATGATAGTGGTCGGCAAGAAGATGAGGACGAAGGTGTGTAATTTTAATTGCCTTATGTTCATAATAAAGTTCAGTTTACATTTTTATTAAATGGTTTTAAAATAATTTTTATTTCAATTCGGTTATTAGATACGGATGACGCGAGTGAAACTGAATACCGGAACAACAGCAGGGACAACAGCGTTAGCAACAATACAAATGGGGGCAGCAATCATGAGCTTAAGGAACAGTAAGTTGACTTAAAATGTTCTAATTCATATTAGAATTATTCGCTTTACTTGCATTGTGACTACGTTTATTATTGTAGAATGTACCAACATAAATTGGCAAACGTGCAAAAGCAGTTAGAAGAGCTGAAACAGTTGTTACATCCTGAGTACTTAAGGCGTTTCAGAAAATTGGAGTACCAAATCAAAGATCGTCTGCGTTTAAATGACATACATCGAGAGTATCTAAAAGATTGTGTAGAACGCGATTATTTTTTAGAAAAGAAAGCAGCACAAAAAGACTTTGATGAGAAAAAGGTACGAATTCGGGGGAGATGTGTAGAGAAATACTTATTCTTATTTAACGTTTTATAGGTTGATTTAAAAGACAACATTTTAACTGATTTCGACGAGCGAAGAAAAGTTATTGAAATGGAACGCTACAGCCTCGAAGTAACCGGTGATTCTACAGAGGTATTATAATTATTTTTTATTTAACAAAGTGCATAAAAATGTAAAAAATACTTTCACAGATTAAGCCTACTGTTACACGTAAGTTGCGGCGTCGTCCAAATGAACCAGTGCCTGTTGTTGAAAAACGACGGAAACCAACTACTGGACAACTGTTGGTGTATTTACTTGATGAGAAGGATATTGAGAATGACCTCAAAACGATACAACGCGGAAAACCGTTGACTCCAAGTATGTGCGAAAATTGGTCACATTTTCAAATTCAAGATTAAAATATATGTTTCTGTGTAGCTCTGCAGCAAAATGGCATAGGTAATTATAGTAACCACCAGTCCAACTCTTTGCTGACGGAAAATTATAATAATTATGTTGAAACTCGAATTGAGGACGGTAAACTATTGTATGAAAGGAGATGGTTTCATCGTGGACAGCAAGTATATGTTGAAGGCAAGGAAATGCCAAAATTTGCGGCAACAATAAACGCTATTGGAAATGAAGTTGTAGGTTTATTTTTTGTAATCAATATATCCAAAGATGTTTCTTATCATAAATCTTTTTACATAGGTTTGGGTAAAAAAAATAAATGACAGTAAAGTGAAAATAAATATGTCCCATTTAGCAAAGGGCAGAATATCTATAAAACGTCGTGCGAATTAGTATAATAGTTTATAATAGTATATCAAATATCATATGTATGAAAATAATTTGAACTCGTATATATTTTTTGAACATTATTAATAGAAGATATTTTGAATGTGAAGTCTATATACTTGAATTAACTCAAAATTAAGAAATGTAAAGTATAGTTGCTTTTGAGAAAGCCACATATTACAGGTTAAGCCCATTTGCCACATATGGTGTTATAGAATTTTTAACAAACTTTAAATATGCTTAACTTGATTCAAATTCATTTCTCAAAAGACAGTTCTTTAAAATATAAAAATGAAGTATATTTTTCAAAATTAATTTGAAAATAAAAACAAATCAGTTAACAAAACTTATTTAGTTAAGTTTTGATAAATAAAAATGTTTAAAGTGAATCCTTGAATGTGCTGCGTTATAAATTCATTAAATATAGATATCATAGAATTCCTAAAAAATGTCAACGCTCAATATCCAGAACTTTTAAATTTCAATTCCCGTCCTTCCATTAAAATATAAACAATTATAATCATAATTATAAAATTTTGAATATTCCTTTACTATTTAAGAAGAGTCTTGTTCTTGAAGAATATGAATTATAAATTGCTAATTTTTTTTTTTAGGTAGAATGCTAGATTATATAGTCGACCCACAGTATGATTATAAACCTAAAACGTACAAGAAATCAAACACAAATTCTGATCTTAACGTATGAAATATAATGCTGACCATATAATAAACATATCTAGTTAAGGTACCACTAAAGTTTTTTGTTATAAATAAACAAATTTTACATAGACATATTTTAATAGCTTTTTATATATGAATTTTACTGTTGAAACGTATTACATTATTTAATATCAGAAAGCTAATGAATTTTATAATAAGTTTAATGATTGATACGTTCTTAAATAGGCACTTACTCTCATTCCAGTGAATCAAATAATTGTAATAGTTGTAATCTTCTAATCGACAGAGGGTATTATCAGATGGAAACGATTAAAAATGTTAAATTCAAACGGAGTAAGCTATAAATAATGATTAAAGTTGTATATGAGTTAACTACATTCAATTATATTTTGTATTTAGTTTAATATCAAATAACAATGCAAGAGTTCAATACAGAAATACTCAAAATATGATGAAAACGCATTCGTTTCATTAAGTTACGTATGTGCAGAAAACAGTAAATAATAAATTCATTGTAATTAATATTGATAATAAAACATGTAAATAAATAATTTGTAATAATAACTGGAACTAGCTGACCTATAGTTCCCATTTTAAGAAAATGGCATTTTAAATAAAAAATCGATTATAAAACGTTTTAATAAACACAAATTTTTATGTTAATTTATAAGATATTAAATATTTTTTTACGGAAATAACTTAATCATTTATTTAAGAAACACGAAGCTTCTGTTGCAGCCCTACTGAGAACTCTGAAAGCGGATCTGTTTCTTGAGGACATATGGTGATCTGAAAAAACAAGTAGCTCTGCTTTCGAGAAATATGATGAAGATTTTTTTGATGAAGTCCGATATACAGGATATTTCTAAATTGAAATAGTAATATATATATATATATTTATGTAGATATGTATTGTTATTCACATATTAACATAATATAATATTTAAATACCTTTTGTTTAAAAACATGCTGCAAATGTCAGTCGTAAAGTTTCTAAATAAATAAATTATAAATTTGGCGAAAAAAGAACCTCAGGAAGGAATAAAAAGTCTGGCAAATAATAGAGATAAAATTATAAGCGTGATATAGGAAA